CTTTCCTTTCCTTTCCTTTCCTTTCCTTTCCTTTCCTTTCCTTTCCTCTCCTCTCCTCTCCTCTCCTCTCCTCTCCTCTCCTGTCCTTCCCTTCCGTAGGGCAATTCGATGAGATGATTAAAATATCCAAATCCAATCCGATGAACTCTGTGCATTATCCCATTTGAAGTACGTTGTTTATTTTTTGCCATGCCTAAAACCTGCTTCCTGAAGTTTAGAGAAATAAATCATCTTTGAAAGTATTCACTGCAGGGTACTTTTTTTTTTTTTTTTAACCAGAAAAAAAGAGAGTTAAGAAGCTTAAAATGATCCCCTTCACCTTTCCACCCTGTTCCTGATTCCCCCATTAGGATTGGCTGGGGGTGCCCAGAGGCCCATCCGTGAAGGCTTAAATGTCCTCTTCGTGGTGGCGGATGACTTGCGCCCTGCCTTGGGGTCTTACGGGGACCCCCTGGTGAGATCACCCAACATTGATCAGCTGGCTTCCAGAAGCGTGGTGTTCCAGAATGCTTTTGCCCAGGTAACGGAGGGTCATCTTCATCATTTGTTTCATTTTCGTGGGAGAGGGTGGTGTCTTGGTTAGTGCCTGGCTGTCTGGAGCATCGTCACAAATCAGGTTTTCCTTCCTCCTGTCATGCCTCTGTTGGAATCTGATTCCGAGGGAGAGGTGGAGCAGCTGACAGGGAGTGGGAGTGTGGTTCTGGTGGCTGTGGAAGAAACTGGGGAAGGACACAGTCCGGCTGGCCCTTCAGAGAAAGACCCAGGGCCACCTCTTCTTCATCCTAGGGCACACAGGGAGGAACAGATAAGGGAGCAACGTGGGTTATAGGGGAGAAAAGGGCCCTGATTCCCTTCATTAGCTGCAGCTGGGAAAACAGGATATAAAAAGGGTGTTTGCACACAGCTCCTTGCTGGAAGCAAAGCGTGAATTATCTTTGTCAAGTCTTATCTGGGTTCCAAGTCCTCCCAACTGTGTGTGTTTCCTTATCTTTTGACGTCTGCAATTCCTTATCGTGCCCTGTTTCATTAATTGCTGCGGCGTGGTTTGTGTTGGTTTTTATTTATAATCTATATGTACTTTGGGTTTGGACTGAATTTCTTCCCTTTAAAAACTGTTCTTGGGAGAGTTTTTTTTATCTTCCAGCTGATGATAACTGGACATTCGGGGCCAAGTTGGAGGAATTCAAGGGACTTTACCTACTTTTGTGACTTGGTTGCTTTTGTGCCTGGGTCATCACACCTCCAGATCAACCTGTGGGCTGTGACTGGTTTCCAATCGGGCCTCGGAAATGGCCGGCGAGCATAGAACCATCCAGGGGTGGGATGCAAAAATCCCAGCAACTGATTCTCTGCCAGGTTGCTGGGTGTCAACTCATAAAATATCTCTCTGGTCTTTTCAGAGTTGCCAACAGAAAGGTAGCGGGGAGCAGTGCAGCAGCTTGGAAACCGCAGGTGCATTCCATAAATAGTTTTTCAAAGATAGTAATTAGGTGACCGAAGTTTCTGCCGTGCAAAATTCTAACTAGAGAACATGATTGATGACTGTTGGCTCTCTCTCTCTCTCTCTCTCTCTCTCTCTCTCTCTCTCTCTCTCT